GATGTTATTATTATAAAGATTATTATTATTATTATTAGTAGTAGTAGTAATAGTAGTAGTAGTAGTAGTAGTAGTAGTAGTAGTAGTAGTAGTAGTAGTAGTAGTAGTAGTAGTAGTAGTAGTAGTAGTAGAAACAGTAGTAGCAGTAGCAGTAGTAACAGTTAAAATTTTTGAAAATATTGTTAAAAGTTTGGTTTTAAAAAACTTTAAACTTTAAAGTACCAATTTATTTCAAATAAAACTAAAATTATTAAAAATTAAACCAATATGTAATAATATTATTCATTTACCTAACAATTCAATCAACTTTTAATTAAATCAAATAATTAATTAATAATTTAAAATTGAATTCAAATAAAAAAATAATAATTTCCCATGGCAACCTACTTCATAATTGATGTACTGCTTCCTCCATTCTGGAGTGATGTGGGCAGATAAATGCTCGGCAAACTTCATACTTTCTGGCCGTCAATTTCATCTAACCACACTAAAATTAGGCAGAATGATGTTTTATCTTTAGGAATCTTCACCCGGTTTTTTTCTATCTCGAGATTGGAAACGGAGACTTTTTACATTTTATCAATGGTTCGATTGTTATGTAAACATTAGTTTAAATTGTCAGGCTAAAAATGAACTCCAGTTTTAATTATAATAATTTTTTCATTTATATATATATAATCTTAAATAAATATCAATTTTTATGTCAAATACGTGGTTAAAATATTTAAATTCATAAAAAAAACATAAATTTTTAGCTCAAATATACCAGAATAATCATATTTCTAAACTAAATCTACTAAAATAATATGACTTTTCAGCACGAATCACACTAAAACAGCATCTTGGCTAGCAAATTAGGCCTAAATTAAAGAATTATTTTTAAAAAATGTCATAAGTGATAACAAAAAATGATTTTTGAAAGGTAATTTAACTAACATTGATGTTTATACAGATATATAAGTATATATTTAATTATATATAACTTATCCGCTTGTTTATTTACTGATAAATGCTTTGATTTCGATACGAGAGCATTGATTCTTAACTATAACACTTGAATTAAAACACCCATCGCTGTAGGTTTGTATGTTTCTTGTATACATACTAACATGTTTGTATGTATATAGTATACTTCTAAGTGATAATATACAAAATATACATCTGTATATATATTTCTAGAACTCTATAAACGTATTTATTTGTGTATGTATGTATGTAAATTGTTATAATGTATAATGTCTATGTATGACGAGTTTTTAGGTAATTCACTTTGTTTGGTTAGGATATTTGCATTTTAACTTGTTACGAACTGCATTTAAATTGACACTTTGACAGAAATACACAACAATTTGATACGGCATTATCATCCCGAAAGAGAGAAAGAGATTGATATAGTGAAAAAGAGAGAGGGAGAGAGAGAGAGTGAGAGAACTGATATATGGGTATCATGATAGTGTTAAATGAGGATTTTGTTACCCACAATCATATGATAATGACGACAACGATGACGATGTAGATTTGAATAAACTTGTTCAGCACACATAACTAGAATAAGGTTCTTTAATGAGTTTTAGAAGTTAAAAAATGGATGAAACATTCAATTATGAACAAATTTATATACCAAAGAGTACACAAATCACGTATAAAAACTAAAAAATGTTTGATAAAACTTTTAAAACCGTTAAATTTGATGATAAATTCACGTTTACCTGGTTGGATCAGTTTTAAAAAATATTACCCATAACATATTTATTATCTTTTCTCACCTTTAATGTTCTTTAAATAGGCCGGAAATTCCATTACGGAAATTATGAAATTCTTCCAAAATAAATCAAAATGAGACAAAAGTCTGCATAAAATATGATTTAATTAAAATTTTTAATCTATTTAATTATTGAATTTATTCATTATTTAAATGATGTTTTAATTTAAAGTATTTAAATTTAAAATGTCCAAAAAGTCATCGTCGTCTTCTTTGTCCTCGGCCAATTGGTTCCTAAGTCCTGTGGCAGATAATAATAAGAATAATAATAATTATAACAATAATAATAATAACAATAATTCAATTAGCGATTGCAATAATAATAATATCAGTAAAAGTTTCACTAAGGACAAAAAGCGCTTCTCCATCTCCTCCATTGTTAGTTAGATATCCTTTGTGGAGAAACTTATTTCATTTTTTTTTAATTAATTAAAGTTTAAATAGAAAAATGGATTTATTGTTCTATATATTTTTTTTTGGAATATGTCTTAAATTGAATGAATTATTTATATATAATTTGATTGTTTAGTTTTATAAATGGCAGGCACAAGATTTCATTTGTTTTATCATGATGTTTAAATAAATTTATTTTATATGAAAAAAACGTTTCAAAGGCAACATAAAAGTTTAAAATATACTGCAACTACCAATAGTGACACTTCATTCTTTAATTGATTAGTATGATTTGCTCACTAATTTGCATATGCATTCATTTATTTCTAAGGCTTTTTTCATTGATTTTTCCCTTCATGTGCCTAATACATTCATATATTTGCATGTATATTGCATATACATCCATTCATCGCTATATAATTCATTCGTTTTTTCAAATATATTTCTATTAATTTGCATAATTTATTAATTATATATCATTTTTCATTTTTTTTTCATTTATTCATTCATTCATTCATTCATACCCATCTTCTAACTTTGGTTTTTGTAAATTTCAGATGAATTCAGGCAGCAATGCATCTCTCAATAATGTAGCTACAAAAAATACTGCAAATACTACTACTACGACTGCTACTACTACCACTACTACTACTGCAGCTACTTCTGCTACTTCTACTAAAACAATCACTACAGCTGCTAATACTATTGCCACAAACATGGCTACTACTAATAAAAGTAGTATTACTACCAATACTTCAGCTTGTCCTGCTGGTAGTTTTACTACAATCGCTACTGTCGCCACTACATCAGCCACTACTAAAACTAACATTATAGCAAATACTGCTAGTACTACAACTAGCTTCACTAATATAACAACAACATCAACTACCACTACTACTACTAATAATAGTGCAAATAATACTACTATAACGTCTACTGTTACTTCTAATAAGACTATTTCTACTACTGCAACTGCAGCGGCTTTTACGGCTGCTAGTGGTACCACGGAAGTAGACGGTTTGCCAATCCAGATTAAAAACGCCAAATGCAGCCAAGATGATTTGGTGCTGAAGATAAATAAGTATAATTACTACATCCAGATGCAAATTAGGTTCAAAGAAGGTGAGAGCTATGATGACGTTGATGGCGCGTGACCTGGTTCAAATGCAAACGGATTCTCCCTACCGCCTATCAATTGACGTAGTGCATTAATTCACGCAAGCTGAAATGCACTTTGTATGTGCGAATTTGTGTGTTTGTGTGCTTGTTTGTTTGTGTGTGTGGGTTTGTGTGTGTGTCTGTTATTGTTGTAATATTACGTTTTAATTATTTTTATCATTAATACGTCAGAGAATGTGGAGAAATACTTGAGAGATAGCGAATCCACACTGGACAGGGCCCAACTCTCCAAATTGAAATCCAACTTCGAGAAGAACAACTGCAAGTTCAACCAGTGCATCGGCCACTACCAGTATAAAAAACAGGGTTACGTGAAAAAGTAAGTAAGACGATGATTACGATGATGATGACGATGATGATACAAGGATGATGATGATGATGACGATACAGTGATGATGACGATGATGATGATGATGATAACGGTGATGATGATAGTGATGATTATCATTGCCCTCATTCATTTATTCAAGATTGATGGATCTGAAGAACGAGCGAAGATACAGCTTACCGTATCAGAAAAATAATAATAAAAATAATAATAATAATAGTAATAATATCAGCATTAATGGCAGTTCTGTCCACAAGTAAGATGATGATGATGGTGATGACGACGATGATGATGATGGTGATGATGATAGTGATGATGATACTGATGGTGACGATGATGATGATGATGGTGATGATAATGATGGTGACGATGATGATGACGATGATGGTGATTATAATGAGGATGATGATGACGACGACGATGATGATGGTGACGATGATGATGATGATGATATTGATGGTGACGATGATGATGACGATGACGTCATCGCAGATCTCCGGAGAAATCCCCATCATTCAGTATCTCCCGCCTAATTCCGAGATTCAATTTCAATGGCAGTCTGTCCGGTAGTGCTGATAACATTGCTGATATGAGTGAGTCTTGATGATGATAATGGTGGCGATGATGATGACGCTACTGCTGCTGCTGTGCTAGTGATAATGATGACGACGATGAAGATGGTGATGATGATCATGACTATGATGATAATGTTGATGGTGATGACGATGTAGATGATGATGATGACGATGGTAGTATCAGCATTTGCATTCGTTCAAACAAGCATTCATCCCAATTTAGCTGGGAAAGAGAAAATCCAAAAATGCACGAACAATAACAACAACAACAATAATAATGATAACAATAATAATAACAGTAATAATAACAATAATAATAACAATAATAATAATAATAATAAAAGGCCAAAGCAGATGCTTATGAACCTAAGGTTGTTATTGCTACTAGTTATACTTTTTTAATCGTTATCAAGAATAGAATCGTCGTCATCATCTTCATCGTCATCATCGTCGTCGTCGTCACCATCATTATTACCATCATCATCATAACTAGAATCATCATCACCACCATCATCATCATCAACAACAGCGCCATCATCATCATCATCGTCACCAGGCAAAAGTCTAAATCCGAAGTCGACTTATCGCCGAGGTCAAGCCTCAACAGCCCGTCGCCCTACTTCATTTCTCCCAAAGACCGTAAATATTACGAAGATAACAATAATAAAGATCACAATAATAATAATAATAATAATAATAATAATAATAATAACAATAACAAAATAAATAATAATGGTAATAATAATAGAAATAATAAAATTAACAAAGCCGCCAGTAAATCAACCTTCTATTGCTATTACGATGATGAATGTAATAATAATAATAATGATAATAATTATAATAATTATAATAATAATAATAATAATAATAATAATGATAATAATTATAATAATAATAATAAAAAGATTGATGACGATGATGATGGTAATGATGACGTAAAGATAAGATCGAGAATGATGCTAAAAGAGTTGATGATGATAGTGAGAGAGAGAAAGACGGAGAACGAAAGGATTAGAAGCGCCCTCGACCAGATCAATGTCCGGCTTATTACTATTATTTATTTTTAATTATAGTAGTAGTAGAAGTAGTAGTAGTTGTTGTTGTTGTTGTAGAAGTAGTAGTAGTCGTAGCAGTAGTAGTAGTAGTAGTAGTAGTAGTTGTTGTTGTAGTCGTAATAGCAGTTGTAGCAGTAGTAGTAGTAGTAGTCGTAATAATAGTTGTAGCAGTAGTAGTTGTAGTGATCTTATTATTCTTATTTTTCTTATTAATTGTTACTTTTATTATATTTTATCTCGTGTTGTTTTGATGGTCGAGGTGAAGAAACAGCCCTTCAGATGCGTTTCTAAAATTGCCAATTACTTTCACCGAATGATCCTCGTCATTATTATTTTTTATTATTAAATTATTATTATTATTGAATTATTATTATTATTATTATTCCTATTATTATAATTATTATTATTAATTATGACTATAATTTTGTATTCAGCTACAGTTCAGAAGTCTTGCTGATCAGAGACAGTGTTTGCTAGAGGCATCCGAGAGGCGGACACACATGCAAAAGAAACTTAAGCATCTTTTGAGCAGGCAGACTAATGAGATTGTCTGTCTTAAAATGGCTGGTTGGTTGGTTGGCTGGTTGGTTGGCTGGTTGGTTGGTTGGTTGGTTGGTTGGCTGATTGGTTGGCTGGTTGGTTAGTTGGCTGGTTGGTTGACTGGTTGGTTAGTTGGCTGGTTGGTTGACTGGTTGGTTGGTTGGCTGGTTGGTTGGCTGGTTGGTTGGCTAGTTGGTTGGTTGGTTAACAAATTGATAGATTGAATTTTTCATTTATGCTTTCAACCATTCGTTCATTTATTTAATCAATCAATCGCGCAATGAATGGATCACTCGATCAATCTATCAATCATTTATTTATTCATTTTTTCATTCATTCATTCATCCAGGATATAGTTCACCTGGAAGAGAAACTTTCACTGAAGGTAGAGGAAAAGTTCAAGGACGGTCAAGATGTGGTCAACTACTGCAAGGAAAAGGTCACGATGATGATGATGATGACGATATATTTATCTATCGTTGTAGATAATGATGATGAATTATAATTTGAACAGTAAGTTCAAACATAAACATCATCATCAACATCGTCTACAACAGTTTGACCTCTTGGAACAACTGCACAACCACACAAACGACAGCAACAGCAACTACTGCAACTACAACAACATCATCAACAGCCACAAATTCACCGGAAGTAGTCTACTGAAACCTCAACCAATCAGCTTCCAGAGAGTGACTCACGTGGCCATCTCGATAGCCAATCACGTCCTTTCTATCGTTGCCGCTATTTTAGTTGCCATAGCGACTACGGTGTCGTCGTTTAGGGCTTCCAGGTCACGTGATGATGAGGATGATGATGATGGCATAGACTTATAATTTTTGTAATAAAAATGTTTTGTTTTTTTTTAGAAAATATTGACGAATTATTTGAATGTAATTTATTAAATTGTGTCCACAGGTCACGGAGAATGCTGGTACTGCCTTGCCTGCTATTGGCTGTCCTCTGTTCTATTTTTATCTTCAGAGTTTTCCATAACGATGACGATAATGATGATGACGATGGTGGTTTGTGATGATAGAGATGGTGATGAGTAACTGCTATACTGTTACTGCTACAATATTTATATCGCAATATTATTTAATGTAGTATTTTTTAAGTTTAGTATTTTATTTTCACAACGTCTTTATAACGCATTCACATGACATTTAGACATTTTATTAATGTGTGTGTGTGTGTGTGTGTGTGTGTGTGTGTGTGTGTGTGTGTGTGTGTGTGTGTGTGTGTGTGTGTGTGTGTGTGTGTGTGTGTGTGTGTGTGTGTGTGTGTGTGTGTGTGTGTGTGTGTGTGTGTGTGTGGGGTTTATTTGTATTTATTTATTTATACACTAATATTCATGACACGTATTATATAAGAGTGTTTTTTTACTCATAATAATTCTCCCTCTAATACTTCTTCAAGAACAAAAAACCGAAGTACGTTCAAATATTGTATGTTTGTACAAACATTGTATGTTGATACAAATATTGTATATTGATACAAACATTGTATGTTTATACAAACATTGTATGTTGATACAAATATTGTATGTTGATACAAGTATTGTGTGTTGCAAAGTGTATGATATTGCATTGTAACAGTGCGTAAGGTTCAAATGTTGTATCAAGTAAAAAAGCATAGAAAAAAAAGACACACCTTTATTTGAGATAGCATTTCACTTTTCGTGCTTTTTAAATTTTGTGTACATTTAAAATTTAAATGCCTTCGGAATTTTTTCATTTCGAATCAAGTTTTTCCGGAATTAGTTCGGGAAAGAATTAAAAATTCGTTCGTTCCTTTGTTCCTACGTTCCTTTGGCATTAACTTTTTCAGTTAAACTAAAATTAAATTTATTTTTGGTAATTTATAAATGAATTAAAACAAAGAATATTTTTTCTGGCTCTTTTTTGTGTGAAATTAAAATTATAACTAAATTAATTTTTTAACTTGTTTATTTGATAATTAAATTTATTTGTTGAAAATCATAAAAAAGTGAGTTTGCATATTTAATTTTAAAAATTCTGAAAAAAATTGTAAAAAACATGTTCTCCATTTTATTTATTCTACTACTATCTTTACTTTATTTTATTATCTTCTAACTGTTTTAGTTTTTTATAGTATAATAATTATATTATAATAGTAATTTGTTAGCTCTACTCTCTGTTTTACCATACTTCATAGTAACCTTATAATATAAAAATTATATTTAGTATTATTATATTATAATATAATGTAAGTAATTATATTATAACAATTTTTCCATTCAACTAGATACTAGACTACTTACTTTTACTGAAAACTATACTATAATAAAATGATAAATCATTGCTTGTTTGTATGCTTTTGTATATATATAAATAATTGCATGCTTACATGCTATTGTATATGTGTATTGATTTGTTTGTAAAATTTTGTAATGGTATATTGGCTCAATTGTATGTTTTATACATGTATGTTTATAATATAAATCAAATTTTTAATTTAAATCATAATTAAATGAAATAAACCTTTATTGATTATTTTAATTTGAATCAGTATTTATTTAAAAAAAATTTTGTTTATAAATATTCCAGCTGTTCTTTATAATTAACTCTAACAAAAAATAAACTATGCTACCAGTTAATAAAAATAATAACAATAATAATAATCATAATAGTAACAATAATGACGATAATAATCATCACCATCTCGAGAATGATTGTCACAATCAGTCTAACGATGCTAAAATAACTTCAAACGACATTAATAACATTAACAATTGTATTAACAGCAGCAACAACAACAACAATAATAATAATAACTCTACTACTACTACTACTGCTGCCACTACTACTATTACTTATAATAATAATAACACGAGTGGCGTTAACATTAGCAACATAAGTAGCAGTAGTTGTAATACTAGCATAGGCTGCCGGCCAACCATATCTCTCTCAGATGAAGTCATCACCTCCATCATCGAGTCGGACATTTTCAAATCCCAATTCCAAAATGTCAAGAGGAGCTCATACGAGAGGGATAAAATCTACTGCAGTATGGCTGTCTCCAAGTTAGTCCTGGATTCTTTTGTTTTTAGCCTGGCGGAGGCGTTTCTCTTTAATGGGATGATTTTAATTTTATCATTTTTGTTTGCAATACACACACACACATACGCACACACACACACACACACACACACACACACACATATATATATATATATATATATCTAACCCTATCTAACTTACTCCTATCTAACTTACTGTATACTTCTTTGGGGTCACAGTCCTAAAAGTCATCTTAACTGTCTGCATGTTTCTCAGAAAAGAGCCATCCGTCTAATATTTAATCTTAAACCTTATTCTCACACGAGATCCTTTTTCGTCGAGCACAATATCTTGTCACTACCTTGCCTTTACATCTACTTCACGGCTATTTTTGTTTTTAAATTTCTGAACAACTTACTCCCTCCCTCTTTTTCTAACTTTTATATTTATAGTAATTCCGTCCAAATATTGAACACAAGACACGCGTCTGTTATTTATCCATCANAAACCCGCCTTAAGCTCGTTGCAACTAGTCTTAAAATTTTGGGCCCTAAGATCTGGCAATTATTTGTACCCCCAGATATTAGGGTTATCACTGAATTGTACCATTTTAAAATTAAACTGAGATCGCGGTTAAATTTGCTTGATCCCGACACCACCATCTAAATCTTAACCTTTTATATATTACACTATATATGGCTCATTTCATCGCTAATAATTATTTTAAATTCAGCATATGTTTCTGTCCACTTAGACTCGTTTATTCATCTCTTCAATCAATCCATACTTTTAATTATTGTATCAAATACTATAAATTATCTCACATTGCCAATCTACTTTCTGTTTTTGATTGTAGATTCATTAGTAATATCTGTATATACTTATATGTTCAGATATTAACTTTGTTTTTCGAGTGTTAATCCTACTGACTATATTTATCGATTTTTGCATGCATTGAAATTTAATTTGTATATTTTCTGTTCTGTTTTAAATTGCATATATATCTCAAGTAAAGTACTTAGGGTGGCCTCTCCACAAGTTTTTTCATTTAAACTTATTTGGTTCCCTTATTGAAAATAAAATAAATAAATAAATAAATAAATATATATATATATATATATATATACACATAGATACATACCTACATACATACACATTCAAACGCGCACATACATACGCACACAGACACATACAAACACCGAGTTTGTTGGCTTGATTGAATCTAATCACACCATTTCACATTTAGAGAACACTTTTGCTAATTTTAGTCAATAAAAAGTGCTATATAAATACAAACGATTAGTGGAATTATAATACAATCCCTAATTTTAGGTACGTGAAATTCTCAGACATCCAGCATGAACTGAGCAAGGCGTTTGGCGACAAGAGTCCGATAAGTATGCTGATGGAGTACGCGCAATACAGCAAGTCCGTCGTCAACATCATGGAGAGTGGCCCCCCTGAGGGTCCGGATCATAAGCCGATGTAGGGATGTGCTTGTTTCATTGTGGAGATGTACTGATTTTATATAAGAAAGTGATGATTTTATGTAGGGATGAGCTGGTGCTTTTGTTGGAATGTGTGTTTTGTGGTGTTTTTTAAGTATGCAATTTGGTTTCTCTGCTTTGTGTGGAGATGTGCTTATATCCAGGTTTGATAGGGATGTGCTGATTTCATTGCTGTTTAGTTGGGGGTATGCTAATTTTGTTAACTTTTGTGAGTTTCTTTGGTTTCGTTGTATCGTGTTATTTTATTGTACGTGCATGTAGCGTTGATTTGTCTCGTGTTCTTTTGTTTCACATCAGATTGCTTTGTTTTTCATTGAACTCATAACCACCATAACTGTTACCACCACCATCATCATCGTCGTCGTCGTCGTCGTCGTCGCCCTGACCCAGATTCACGATGGTGGCTGTCGTCAACGGCTGCCCCTACACGCGCGTCATCGCTCACTCGAAGAAGGAAGCCAGGGCCGGCGCTGCCTATGTGGCTTGGAGGGAAATTGTCACAGAGAAACAGCAAGAGGTTTGTGTGTGTTTGTGTGTTTGTTTGTTTGTGTGTATGTTTGTGTGTGTTATTGTGTGTGTGTGTGTTTTATTGTGTGTGTGTGTTGTATTGTTGCGTGTGTGTGTGTTGTTTGGCATACGCGCATACAAACATACAGAGACACGTTTCATGGTGCACATGTGTACAAAAACAACCAAGCAAAAACCATTTGTATCATTTTAAACCATTTTGAAACATCTTCCAAATACATACACACGAATACACGCACACAGACATACACACACTCACAAACATACACACACACACACAGTTAAAAGAATTTCTACATCAACCCAATCAATCACTGGAAAATCAAGTTACATGCCTAGTAAACTTAGAATACACGAAGAAAATCCTAGAGAACCCGACAGCTTTTTGCGGTAGAAAGGTACTGTCAGGTATCATTATGAAGTATCCCAAATGTGATAAAGAAGGTGATAGTAGCGGTATCATCGAGAAAATCTCAAAAACTAATAATGATACCTATCATAATGATGATGATATCTGTCGTGATACTGGTCTGGATGGTATTAATACGAAATATCGGAATAATAACGATAATTCGCAAGTAGCTGCTCGTAAAAGTGGTTGTATCAATGGCGTTAGTCGTAATGGTGACTGTGAAGATGATACTAAAGATACTATTGGAAAGAAGATACCTGACGATGGTATCAATGTGAATGATGATGATGATGATGATGATGATGATGATGATGATGATGATGATGATGCAAACTGTCTCGATAGTAATAACAATAGCAGTAGTAGTAATAATAATAATATTGATAATAATAATGATGATAATAATAATGATAATAATTATAATGAAAATTCTAGTTTCAATGAATACACCAGTAGCGTTAGTTTTAACGTTAGCAGTATTGATAATAGTAACAGCGGCTGTGGCATCAACAGCAGCTGCAGTAATAATAATAATAATAATAATATAAATAATAATATTAATAATAGTAGTAGTAGTAATAGTAGTAGTAACAGCAGCAGTAGTAGTAGTATTGAACCCACTAAAAATGGCAAACCTAAGGTCGATGGTGGTAGTAATGATGATGGTAGTAGCGATGATAATGATGATGATGGTGGTGATAGTGGTGATGACTTTGTCTACTGGGATAGCGATGGTAAGAGATGGTGTCTGGAGGTCATTAGCCTTGGGACTGGTCAGTTTGATCTTTTTATCATTGTCATCATAATTTTCGTTATCATCATCATCATCATTATTATTATTATTATTATTGTTATTGTTGTTTATTATTATTATTTAATATAATTATTATCGTTTATTATTATACAAATAAGAATTAATTTTCTTTTTTGGTCTCCCCAATAATTCTTGCTTTTTGGCTTTGTCTGATTGAATAAAAGTGAAAAAGCGATATTATTTATAACCGATACACACAAATACGCAACGACAATACGCTAACACACACACACACACACACACACACACACACACACAATACACTAATACACACAATACACACACACACAATACGCGCAAACACGAACAATACGCGCTAATACGAGTAGGAAACAGATGTATTTCAAGCCAGCACTTGAGTCTGGATGGCCTCTCGGTTAACGATTCACACGCCGAAGTTATCGTCAGGAGAGGATTTCTGAGGTATGTGCCTGAACTCTAGTTGATATGTACTTGAAATGTACTCAAAATGCACTTGAAATGCACTTAAAATGTACTTGCTGATGTTTCGTTCGAATGTCGTTGCACTTTTGCAGTTTTTATTAAAGCCATCCGTGCCTGTTTAGCGTTATTGATGAGTTTTATCAGCAGTATGATTTGTCATTTCAGGCTGTTAGTTCGTGTGCGCTTACTTGCTGCTGTTTTGTACTTCGCAGTACTTTTCGTGTACTTATTAAATTAACGAATGCTTCGATGCTTTTGACATTTTGAAACTGTTGATTTCGTTGCGTTGGATTTAATTTTTTTTTTTTTTTTTGAAGTGGCGGGACTGATTCATTTATTATCATTCCACATAATGAGAAGAGCTAAGCTCAATTTTTTCTATTTATATTATTGCAAAAATTGAGTACAATAAGTAAAAAGTACAATAAGTAAATAATGAATAATAATCACAAATATATATAAACTAATGGACGAATTTTATGAAAAAAAAAATCTCAAAATTATAATTTAATCTAAACAGTACTTGTTAAATCGCTAAAAAAAGATATTAGGAAATATTCAAAATAGATGCGAGACCGTTAAACAATGCTGCTCAAGCCATTTTCAAGCAAACCTCCTCGAGAGATGAATTTTTTGATGGGCACGCGGTGTTATCAAGTTCAATGCCTTCGTCTGATATTCCTTTCAACAGTTCCAAACACTTTTCAGGAATAATTTTCTTCCTGATGGATTTCTTCTCCAAATACTTCAACCAAAGTTCTCCCATAACTTTCGACGTGACCCACGACCCAGCGTTCTCATCAATCATCATCAGTATGAAGCATCCATCTCTCCTTAAGAAGGAGCTCACGAACTGATCTACCTCGACTTGTTCTTTCTGGTACTCCTCGCTACTGCTGCTGCAGCTCCCGAATCTCTGCTGCAGCTGTCCGGACTGCCGCAACATTTCTAAAACGTAGCTGCACTGTAAGTGGCGCACGAAAGTTAGCGCCAGCCACTTCAATAGGCTAGAAGCTGTGGTCACCATGACGATGACCAACCAGAACCAGATGATGAGGAAGATCATTTCGTACAGCATGTTCATAGGTAGAGCGCACTGCACTATGTACTTGTGGTTGTTATTCAAGACCCTTATTGTCGGCGTGCAGTAAGCATACTTTGGAAATCTTTTCGATTGGAAAACTTCTGAATTTGTTGAAATGTTGTTCAAGACCTCGAGACCGTATAAACTGTATTTGTAGCCGAGGAAAGAGTTCAGCATGTACAGCTGCCCAACTGCGTTTGCCATGTACAAACATTTGATGAAGAGGTAGAGGAATGACATGTAATTACCTCCCGGCACCCACACCACTCTCTCGAAAATTCCTCTACTTTTGTGGGTTTTCCCGATGGTGTTTAGATAATTGAACAACGTACTGGCGACGTATCTCAAATTGTTCTCCGACTCCTCGAGATCCGGACACTTGCGACACGTTGACGAAGCATCCGTCACGGAACTAAGTGCTAATCCGGATTTTTTGCTAAAAATTTTCCATAGGGGATTTGGTAGGTAGAAGAGAAAAGCCTGGAATGCCAACATGAGACTCACCCACTGGTAGAAACTGATAAGACGCCTCTCTTTAGTGTTCCTGACTGCCACGCTGTCCGGTACACTGAACGTTATCGAGGTCCAACAGTACTGTGTGTGTGTGTACGTACGTACGTACGTGTATGTGTGTGTGAGTGTGTGTGTGTGTGATAATTAAAAATTTATTAGGTAATTAATTAATTAATATACGGCCTACCTTGGTAACGTAGTCAGTCTGACTTGATGTAAATTCAGTTGGGCACCAACAGCTTATAGGTTCATCTATAATTAAACTGTCAATTAAGACGTGACTTATTATTAATAATTAAAATTAAGTAGGTAACTAAATACAAATGATATAATTCTTATTCAATATAATAATTATGACCGTAAAAAAATGAAATAATTTTTGAACGTATCTTACGTTGAGCTGGAAAGCAAGGCGAAAAGTGACAAAAGGCTGACTGTGTATTTACTACTTAGCTTATCACTAAAGCTATCGGCCCGACCGCTTTTTTGGTCAGACTCCCTTGAAAAAGCCGAAAATAAAAATTCCATTTTATTATTATTTGTTTATTTATTTATTTTATTATTTATTTCTGGTCGCCGATAAGATTTTGTTATCATAGGTGTTGTTGTTTGTCGTGAAATCGCAATAATAGTATTACAGTAGACGTTTTTATTGTTGAAGTTGTTGTTGTTGTTGTTGTTACTGTCGTTGTTGATTTTATCTTTTATCCCCTAAATTTTAATGTTACCACAATTCTGTTTGCCTCTTCTAATCAAATTTACTGTATGTTAATCTATCTAACCTAACTCATTTGGTCAATTATTATGTGTAATGGTGTTTCTATCTAGCTATCTATTTATTTACTTATTTACTTGTAGGATCTCTGCAATTATTTCACTTAATTTAATTTCTCTCTCTCTCTCTTTCTCTCTCTCTCTCTCTCTCTCTCTCTCTCTCTCTCTCTCTTTCTCTCTCTATATCGCTCTTTTTCTTTTTTTCCGCTCTTTATCACTCTCACTCTCTCTTTGATTAATTTGTTTAATGATTGACTGATTGTTTGTTTGATTAGTTTGGTTGATTAGCCAGCTTATCAAATGATTGGATGGCTGGTTGTTTGATTGATTGATTGATTGATTGATTGATTGATTGATTGATTGATTGATTGATTGATTGATTGATTGATTGATTGATTGATTGATTGATTGATTGATTGATTGATTGATTGATTGATTGATTGATTGATTGATTGATTGATTGATTGATTGATTGATTGATTGATTGATTGATTGATTGATTGATTGATTGATTGATTGATTGATCGGTTGGTCAGTCAGTTGGTTGGTCTGTAAATTGATTGATGGAATGAATGAATGAATGAATGAATGAATGATTGATTGAATGAACGAACGAACGAATGAATGAATGAATGAATGATGGATTGATTGGTTGAATTAAAAGAAGAAACATTTGAATGAATGATTGATTGATAAATTAGCCGATTTAATTTTCATAATATTGCAAAACGCCATTCAGTCTTTTACCGAAATGATAGACAAATTAATTATTTATATCCGGTTTCTGTAGTAATAATAATAATTATAATTATTATGAAATAAACATAATAATAATAATTATTATTGTTGTTGTTGTTAATGTTTTTATGACAAATAAGTAAACTTATGATGATTGCACTTAATTATAGTTGGAATATTTCAGAAGGACACTACATACATTCATCATTCATTCATTGATTCATATAATCATTCATTTATTTATTTATCCACCGTTCATTCATCTATTTATCCCATTCATTCATTCATTCATTCATTCATTCATTCATTCATTCATTCATTCATTCATTCATTCATTCATTCATTCATTCATTCATTCATTCATTCACTCATTCATTCATTCATTCACTCATTCATTCATTCATTCATCCATTCATTCATTCATTCGATTCATTTAATTTCAAAAGGTTCCTATACTCAGAAGTTTCAAAGTTTTATACCGGAAAACCGTCAATTTTTCTCAGCTTCCATAGCAACAACAACAACAATAACATTAATAATAATAATAATAACAATAACAACAACGACGACGAGGATGGTGACGACGTTAAAGACTTCACCAAACTCATTGATCTGATTAAAAAATTTGATCCGGACAACAACAACAACAACAACAATAATAATAATAAGGATGATGATGGTGATGATGATGATGATGATGATGATGATGATGATGATGATAATGATGTGAACAAAAGCAACAATAAGGATAATAATGATATTAATAATAATAACAACAACAGCAATAATAATAATAACAACAAGAACAACAACCACAATAATAATAATAATAATATTAACAACAGTGGTGCCAACGGCAACTCAAATATTTTCCATGACATAGAAATTAGCCATGACCCAGTTATTAATAAGGACTTCGACCTATTAAACAACCTCGACCTTATAAACGGCCTTGAACTTTTGACCTTGAAACCATCCGTGACCTTTCACCTCTACGTGTCGTCGTTGCCGTGTGGCGATGCTGCCGTCTTCTCCAAGTTTGTTTGTTTGCCTTTGTTACTTTTTGTGTTGTTATTGTTATTATTGTTTTTTGGTACATATATATATATATATATATATTATATATATATATATTATATATATATATATTTATATATATATATACACATTTAGGGACAAATCAATAAAGATTAACAGCCTAAATAACACTAGCAACAACAACAACAATAATAACAACAACAACAATAATAATAACGACGGTGATGATGAAAACGATGACGTCAGTGGTCCCGTCCTTCCGGAAAGCGCCGTTCACGGATTGTTGAGGAGCAAGATTGAAGCCGGTACGTCCAGCCAACCAATCAGTCAATCGACCAACCAGCCAACCAATTAGTCAATCGACCAACCAGCCAACCAATCAGTCAATCGACCAACCAGCCAGCCAATCAGTCAATCGACCAACCAGCCAACCAATCAGTCAATCGACCAACCAACCAACCAACCAATCATTCAGCCAACCAGCCAACCAATCAGTCAATCGCCCAACCAACCAACTAACCAATCATTCAACCAACCAGCCAACCAATCAGTCAATCAACCAACCAACCAATCAGTCAATCGACCAACCAACCAATCAGTCAATCGACCAACCAACCAATCAGTCAATCGACCAACCAACCAATCAGTCAGTTAACCAATAAAAAACAAACTTTTTCTCATCCCCCAGGGGAGGGGGCAATCCCTGCGGACATGTCATTCATCCAGACGTGGGTGGGCCTGATGTTTGGCAACAGATTGCGGACCATGTGCTGCAGTGACAAGATCATGAAGTGGAACGTGGTGGGTCTGCAGGGGGCCCTTCTGTCACTCATAGTCCGGCCCATCTATCTGGAGAGTGTGGTTTTAGGTGAGTTGTTGGGCTTTTTTTGCATACACCCACCTCGCTAACGTGAACAACCCTTTCATCTTTCAAGGTGAATTTGCGGCCACAAGCCACGCAAGCAGGGCTCTCTATTACAGAATCTTCAAAAGCAACAACAACATAACGCAGCAGCAGCAGCTACTGCAGCTGCAACTGCCGCAACAACATCGGCTGCAACATCTGCTTCTTCAGAAGAGGTTTAGCGAGCCGCTGATCAATGCCCACGCGCTCTTTAGGACGTACAGCAACAGTTGCATTGCCACGAATGTCTGCAAAAGTAGCAACAACGTCAGTGGCAGCAGTTGCAACAACATCAACGACAGCTGCAGTACCAGCACTAGCGGCCACAACAGCATCAACAACAGCGTCAACAACGTCAGCAGCAGCCACAACAACAACCACAACCACAACACTGATGATGACGACGACGACGATGACGACGACGAAGACGACGACGACGATGGCACTAACAGTTCCGCCAGTAGCTACAACAGCTTCAGCAACAATCTCCGCCTTGTCAAACGCTTCCAGCAGCAGCAGCAACAACAACAACAACATCAACAGCAGAAATTGAAATACCATCATTTCTACCAGCAACAACAACAGCAACAACTCATTAAAACGTGCTACCCCCTATGCAAGGGCTTCAAGTTGACGTGCCCCAAAATTCTCCAAACCAATTTTGCTTACCTTTTTAAGCACCTGGAGACGGAGAAGTCGTCGGCTCTTGCCATGTTGTGGTACAAGGGTATGAGAAAGGTGGAGGTGTACGATGGCACCACGGGCAAGTTCGTTAATGAGTAAGTTACGTTGGTGATGATGATGGTGGTGGAGATGATGGTGATGAAGAGGATGATGGTGGTGGTGGTGATAAAGATGACGATGGTGGTGATGATGATGGTGGTGGTGAAGATTATGATGGTGGTGGTGAAGATTATGATGGTGGTGGTGAAGATTATGATGGTGGTGGTGGAGATTATGATGGTGGTGGTGAAGATTATGATGGTGGTGGTGAAGATTATGATGGTGGTGGTGGAGATTATGATGGTGGTGGTGGAGATGGTGGTGATGAAGATGAGGATGATGATGAGGATGAAAAACATGATGGCGATGATAATTCTTTTACCTTTCTATACAGCGGTCGAAATACTTGCATATGCAAGAAAGAGCTGTTTGAGGAGTTCAAACGCGTTGTCCTATTGGCTCTTAATCACCAAACCAACAACAACAACGACAAAAACATTATTAGCAACGACAACATCAACAACAACATCAACAACAATATCAACAACAACAACATCAACAATTACAACCACATTAGCAACAATAATAACAGCAACAGTAATAAAATCAAAGGCTTTGACGACAACGATATTAATAAAGACCTCATCAACAAAAACATCATCAACCACAACAACAACAAAGTATCGAACAACCTCTGCAGTGGCAGAGACAGCAGCGACAGCAGCAACAACAGCAGCAACAACAACAGCAGCAACAACAACAGCATTGATGACGATGATAATACAGTTGATGTTGATGTATCCGGTATCATTGATAGCATCTTGAATGAGATAAACAATGAAAAAGGCGACATTTCAATAGGGCCATCATCATCGTCGTCGTCGTCACATAACCGTCGATCATCATTGCAATCGTCATCTCCATCATCATCATCATCATCATCACCACCACCACCATCATCATCATCATCATCACCACCATCATCATCATCATCATCACCACCGCAAACAACATCATCATCATCATTACAATCGTCATCATTATCACCGCCACATGGCCAGCAATCATCATCATCATCGTCATCACCACTCGACCAACAATCGTCGTCATCATCACTACCACACAGCCAACAATTGTCATCAGAGCCACCGTCTTCTTCATCATCATCATCGCCACACAACCAACAATCATCATCATCATCACCAGACCCATCATCATCAATGACGTCATTGTCGATATCGCTATCGTCGTCATCATCTCTGTACGAATTCTTATCATCGCCACCACTGTCGCCATCATCATCGTCGTCGTCGTCGTCGTCAGCTTCTTACTTCACTTTTAAGCAGCAAGCCGAAACGTACCAGTGCATCAAGAGATTATTCTTCGATAGACTGAAGGAATTGGGGCTTGGCGGATGGATAACCAAGCCGAAGGAAATTGACTTTTTTGTTTAAAAGTAAATTACGGAAAGATTTGTGGAAAAAATTGTTTTCTTTTTTGATTAAATCAGAGAAAATTATTAATGTTATTGGAATAATAATAGTAGTAAACACGAAACAATGTATACAATTTCTCATTTCATCTCGTCATGTTTTTGTTATGTATTGTATGCTGTTAAATCGATTCATGTGTTTTTGTATTTGTTTGTATGTGCGTTAGTGTATATTTTGATGAATTTTGTATGTACATGTGTATTGTATTTGTCTGTTTGTTGTATGCTTTGTATAGAGTTATATGTTTATGTATGTATATAATATATATATATATATATATATATATATATATATATATAGGCTATCATAAATACAATTATTTATAAAGATCACTGCGAATTTGAATATATGTCTATATATAGAACGATTTGTTGTATTTTCTTATTTTACAATTGTGAATCTGATATAGTTAAGTTAATATATATATATTTATATATATAATTATAGTATATATATATAATTATAGTATTTATATATATATATATATATATATATATATATATATATATATATATATATATATATATATTTGTCAATAAAACAGAAGTTCTTTGAAAATAATTCTTTCTGGTTCTTCCAATTCTATGTAAAAATTGAGGTATCAGTTGTAGCAGTAATAGTAGTTTGTAGTAATAGTAGCAGTGTTAGTAGCAGCAGCAGTAGTAATTATAGATTTTGGAGTTGTAGTAGTAGCAGTAGTAGTAGTAGTAATAGTTTTTTTTGGAGTGGTAGTAGTAGTTTTAATAGCGTAAAAATTATAGTATATGCAATTGCATATGCATTATCATTGGAAGTAGTAGCAGTTGTTGTAGTAACTGTAGTTGTTGTAGTAGTCTCATCGAAAGTAGTAGTAGCAGTAGTACTCAGTGTTGTTAGTATCGAAGTATAGCTAACGACGATATTGTATCGGTACTTTTTCAGTATTGGGTTCGGTATAGGCCGTATTTTTTCAGTGTTGCCGAGTATTTAGCCTGATATAGTCGAGACTTTCTGGAAGGCGAGGGAGGAAGATGAAGAATCAAACTCCAACGTGGTATTGTATCGGTACTTTTTCAGTATTGGGTTCGGTATAGGCCGTATTTTTTCAGTGTTGCCGAGTATTTAGCCTGATATAGTCGAGACTTTCTGGAAGGCGAGGGAGGAAGATGAAGAATCAAACTCCAACGTGGTCCCGGCTTTCTTACGTCTGCACGTTTAAGAAAAATTTAAGCATGGTAAATACAATCAACTTTATATTCTCACAATTTTTTATTTCCTTAAAATTGTCCCTTCGGCTTTTGAAAAATTTTTTTTAAATTTTCGTAAAAATTTTTTGCAAAAAATTGTAAAAATTTTCGGAACTATCAGATGTTACATTTTATCGAAAGACAAACATGATGACGATTAATTGTTTTCTAAGACATCTGTCATGCAATTTCATTATTATTGTTATTAGTAGGAGTAGTCCTAGTAGTAGTAGCAGTAGCAGCGATAGTAGTAGTAGCAGCAGCAGCAGCAGTAGTAGTGGTGATGGTGGTAGAATCAAACTCTCTTACATCAACTGTGAGACCGTGTCAACCTAACACACAGAAATAGTAACTGTAGCAGTATTAGTAGTAATAGTCGTAGCAATGATGCTAGTAGTAGTAGCGGCAGTAGTAGTAGCAGTAGTAACTTCTCACTCTCTTACATCAAACTAGAAACCGGTAATTAGGTGACAACTCTACACGCTCATATCGACCAAGTCGTTACTCACAGAGAAAATACAATAATAATAATAATAATAAGTAGCTTTTATTATAATTATTATAATATAATAATAATAGTAATAAGTAGCTTTTATTATAAATGTTATTATTGTTATTATTATTATTTTGAGTTTTTTTCTACATTTTCGATGCCTATAAAAGCGAGAGCGTTAGCCGGGAAATTTAGTATTGCAGAATTATTGAAAATTTATCTAGAAATAATAATAATTTTATTTGTTTATTTAGAATTTAATTACATTAATGACAATAACTGCAAAATAAATTAAAGAAATAAATATTTTTCATTCGGTAACATTAAAAGTATCTAATTCGTGAACAATAATATTTTTATCCAGTTTTTCGTCCGATTTTTTTCCTATCTCTCTCTCTCTCTCTACCAGCAAGATGCTAAACGCGGGAAGCCTGACATCCAGAACAATCCTCGTCTGCTACTGCCTACTGGCGTTGCACGTACATCACTGCTATTCAGCTGCTTATACAGATCCAGTAAGATAGCTATCATACTTTATATCAAATTAATTATACCAACACTAACTATAATCCTAACCATTACACCCTTATTATCGCATCCATCCATCCATTCACAATAGCTGGATGAGAGAAGATTACAATCAGTAGAAAGAAAGCTAAGAGAAGATTTCGAGCGAGAATTAGCTGAACTTTTCAGGCCGGAAACTGAAAAAAGCGTCGAAAAGCGCCAGCTAGAGCTTAAAAGGTTTATTCGTTTGTCTCTTCATCTCCATATGTCCGACTGTCTGTCTGTTCGTTCATGTATTTCAATTCTCTCTTCAATATCATATCTTGCGGCTTAAGTAAGTATTCGAAGCTGGTAACTGCGGCCACAGTGCCAAACATCTAGACCACTACATCATCTGGCAAATTATTTATTTGCTAATTAATTAATCAAAATTAATCACTAATTAT